ATCTATTTGAAAGCTAGATTAAAAAGATGAGTTTTGATAGCAGTCTTGAAAGTGATTGATTGATCAAAACACAAACCTGAGTTTTTGGAAAGTGTACAGGCCTAATCGGAATGTAGAAAATGAAATTGACACGGTCTTTGTCTGGTAAAAATACCATCTGTTTCAAACTACAATAGCATGATTCTCACTAAATTGCTTTGTTCAGCTGTAGGAGAAACAAAATTGATATGATCCTCATTTTGTATAAAATGGCAACATCAAACTAGGAACAAAGACCCTTATAATTCTTCTTTTTCACACCCAGAATACTTACCGGTAAACAGGAAAGATAAAATATGGCCTGGACTGTGAAATCTGAACCAATTGAAAGGACATCTGGATCACTATTGTGCAAAAGAGGTGTACTCAGATGGGACGTTACAGATTCATAGAAAAAGATCATTTGTAACTTATCAATTGCTTAACTTTATGACTATGGGATAATACTGGATAACTGTTAATCAGTTTACTAAAATAAGCAATAAATATATCTTATTAACCAAGCGCGAGGGCCATATTGGGAGAATATGGCGCTCGGTCCGTACAAAAAAGACTAAGGGCCGATATTCTTCCAGCACGGTCCCGAGCAAGCTTGGTTAATAAGAGATTTATTATAGGACTGAAGTAAAAAGGGACACAAGTGCGGTATCATTCGGAACCATTCGGGACAGTGCCCGGTCCAATACTAAGAGAATATTGTCTGGCAATAGAGCATTTTGATTGGTTAATTTTAGTTATTGGCCCTCTGACTGCCCGAGTCGTGTAATAAATATCAACAATCACAAGATTTGGGCCCACATATCCATAATATTGATTTACTCAGACAAGAGAACTAATGAGACCAAATCTACTCAAAATTAAAGGTAAAAAAGGTTAAGTCTGTATGTAAGCCAAGTGGCCCATTTGGCCAGCACTTAACTGCGGTTTCCATAGCATGAAGTGACTAAAACATTTCTACTACCCTCTGGATGGGATGCTAGTCCATAGCAGGGTTACCTCCCCCAGTACCCATTTAAACCATTTGAACACAAGGATGAAGAGAGGCACTGTGGCACTTTAGAACACAACACACAACACAATGTCCCTGGCCAGGGCTCCAA